TTTTTTTTTTTTTTTTTTTTGCTAAACGAAAAAAAGAAAAAATACATGTCCTTTTACTTAGTGAGTCTCCGAAGCCTGTACCTGAGAGCTAACAAAAACAATAACAAATAACGTCATCCATCGTATGGCTTATCTTCTTCCTCCCACAGCTGCTGTCCGGCGGAATATTTAAACTTTTTTTTTTCTCTTTATTTCTTTTGTTTCAAGTCTCATTCATTTCTGATTTTCTGTATTCTCCAAATTAACTCCAGAGTCCAGACAAACAATTGAGTTGTTGATTCATACACGCAAAACAATTGTATTGCATTATAAATCCCACTTTTCCCAGACTAGATTAGATCCCAAATCCCAATTTGTTTCGTTCATCGTCTCTCATCTCTAGTCATCGCAATTATTCATTCATTCACTATCAATATAAATGTCGGGAATCATGAGGCAGATTGCGAAGCAGCGGATAATTGCGGCGACGGTCCACCGTATGACGACGCAGACTTCGTCATCGGAGACATCGAGGAGGCAGCGGAGGCACAAGTGGGACCAGGGCGGGTCTCGGGATGAAAATCAGAGCGGAGGAAGATCAGAGCGGAGGAAGATCAGGGCGGAGGCCAATTGCCCTCGCTGTTCCTTTAACCGTATGGGTATGGACTTTTTCTTCTCCGACACCAAATTCCCCAATCTCGATGCCCATGATAATGATAAGAGTCATCATTATCAGGGAGAGGCGCTCAATCTCTGCCCCAATTGTAAGACCGCCTACTACTTCCGACCGCACAGGATCGCTCCTCTCCAGGGTACCTTTGTGGAGATCCCCTCCGCTGGTAATAATTATAACAAGAAAGATAATAATAGTATTAGTAATATCATTAATAATAATAATAATAATAATAATAATAATAATAGCAACAACACTAGTCCTAGTCCTAATGTTAATAATAGGCTCAACTTGCTTAAGGCATCCTTCTGGGAAAGTTTGACATCATCTTATGATGGCAATGCTAACGGCAATAATGGTAATGGTAATGGTAATGGACCTCCGCCGGGCAATGGGGTGGCGGTCCACACTCCTCCGGGGCCGCCGTTCGCGCCTGGGCTTAATGTGGTTAGAGCAGAGAGAGAGAAGGGGGGTGGGCAGCAATGGGGCGGGTCCAATCTGGGAAAGGATTTGCCGACGCCTAAGCAGATTTGCATGGGTCTTGACAAGTTTGTCATTGGCCAACACACGGCTAAAAAGGTCAGGTCTTGTCTTCATAAAGTTTTTCTTTCTCCATCCTTTAAATTAAATTAAATTAAATTAAACTGAATTAAAAGGAGATGCAGATGTTAATCCGTAAAAGAGTTGTTAAAATATGCAAATGCAGGTGCTTTCTGTGGGTGTTTATAATCACTATAAAAGAATATACCAAGCGTCCTTGCAGAAGAAGACAGGAGGTGATGATGATGACGACAACGTGGAACTGGAAAAGAGCAATGTGCTTCTGATGGGTCCGACTGGCTCTGGGAAGACATTGCTTGCCAAGACACTCGCTCGATTTGTTAACGTTCCTTTTGTCATTGCCGATGCCACTACTTGACGCTCTTTGTGGATATTTGTCTCTTCTGTTATTCTAAACTTGTTATGTTCAAACTTTGTTTACTGAAAAATGCAAAAATGCTGCTGCTTCTCTTTTATTGCAGGCTGGTTATGTTGGAGAAGATGTTGAATCGATTTTGTATAAACTACTCGCGGTTCGTGATTTGATTTGGTGTTTCGTTTCCTTATAGTGAGTGATGATCTTTACTTTTCATTCATATTATCTCTGGACCGACGCTGTTGTTGTGATGGCAATAATAGGCAGCAGAATTTAATGTACAAGCGGCACAACAAGGAATCGTTTACATTGATGAAGTTGACAAGATAACCAAGAAGGTTCATTCATTTATGTCTTTGAAGAAACTGAATTACAAAGTTGAAGTATCTTTATTTTAACAAGTTGGAGTCATTTCTCACAGGCTGAAAGCTTAAACATTAGCAGGGATGTTTCTGGTGAGGGTGTTCATGAGGGGGTGCAGCAGGCATTGCTGAAAATGCTTGAAGCAACTGTGAGTTAATGCCGTCACATTTCAGTCATAGCTCGTATTACTTTCTTGTTTATTGTATTTTCACTAGTTCTCATCTAAAATTTTGCATCTATGCTAATTTAGTGTTTCTTTCTTTTATATATATATATATATATATATATATATATTGGTTTCCTACTTCATGAGTTTGCCCCCCTTAACCGTGAACATTTGAAAATCACTTCTGATTCCTTTGAACTTCATCCCATCTCCACACCCTAAAAGCCAAAAAAAAAAAAAAAAGGCAAAGAAAAGCAATGACGGATATCACTGTGTGTGCTTAATTGAGATTGAATTTAAGTTATTTAGGCCTCATTCATTTCACCGATTCGAGTTTTGTTACAGTAAAAAGCTCTCAAAAACAGTCACATCGAACTTTTTTGTTACAATAATAAACTCTCATATAAAGTCACATCTCAACTCGAATCAGCGAACTAAGCGGGCCCTTAGTTAGTATATCTCCTGTGATAATGCTGGATATGTCTAAAGATGCTGCAACAAATAAAGAAATAGAAACATCGGTTGGGATACCATTACTTTTTCTCTAGTGTAAAAGTGTAGGACAATTCTGAGAAGTGTTACCAGGTTCGAGAGTTCTCTGCCTTTTCATATTCTTAAAATTTGGACATAGTGACTTTAAAGAATGGAATGGTCATATGAGCTTTCACCTAGAAAATGTAATTGTAAAGAGTAGCATTTTGAGAGCGCAACATGAACGCATGCCTTTTATTTATTTATTTATTTAGTTCAAATGGAAGTCAACTCAACTTTCTGCTGATTGATTTTCTTTGCAAATTATAATCCCTACCTTCTTCGCTCAGATGGAGGGTATCTCAGATGTTTGTGCGTGATGAAAAGAAAAAAAAGTTATGAATGATAAATAGGAAGGACTACATCTAGTCCCTGATTTTATTTTATCTGCTTAATCCCTACCTTCTTAGCTCAGATAGAGGGTATCTCAGACGTTTGTGCGTGATGAAAAGAAAACAATTATGAATGATAAATAGGAAGGACTACATCTAGCTCCTGATTTTATTTTGTCTGCTTAGTTCATTTTGAAATTATAGTGTTAAGTTCTAGCTTGCTTCTGTGCTTATTTTCTCGGAGGCATTTTTCTTCATTCTCTTTTTATATGAATGTTTGTTAATTGTAATTTGTTTTCCACTTCTTCCGTTACTTTAGATCTGCTTCTTAATACTGAGACGATTATTCTGCTAATTGCTTAAGAGTGTTGTATTTCTCTTTGTCTAGATAGTGAATGTTCCTGAAAAGGGGGCGAGGAAGCATCCTAGGGGTGATAACATACAGGTGTGCCCTTTCTACAGAACGCTACATGCATGAAATACCGTTGATATTTTAGGAAATTGCCAATATTTCATTTAAGTTCTAACTTCATGTAAATGATCTGCAGATAAATACAAAAGACATTCTTTTTATATGCGGTGGAGCATTTATTGATCTTGACAAAACCATTTCAGAAAGGTAATGATTTCTAGAAAACCATACATTTTTTTCTTCTCTTTTTTTAATCCTATTCTGATTTCAACATGATGTTGTACACTAACAGAAGGCAAGATTCTTCTATTGGTTTTGGTGCTCCTGTTCGTGCTAATATGAGAACTTCTGGTGTAACCAATGCAGCAATCACATCCTCTTTACTTGAATCAGTAAGAACGTGGGGACTTGAATCTTCTAAATATTACTTTGTCACATATATTGTGTATATTGCATAAATACCTATATAAACATATTATTTATTACATATATACACATGCATTGTTCTAATTGATGCATGCAATGTGGAAGTTGCAAAGGAAAACACGTAATAAGGAATTGAAGTCAAATTTCTTTCTGCTCTCCAGAATAACGAGAAACAAAAGAAAACAAAAGAAGATGTTGAAATCCTTTCATTTAAATGTGAGTATGGAACTAAAACGTGTTCTTTTGTTTCCAGGTTGAAAGTTCTGATCTTATTGCGTATGGTCTCATACCAGAGTTTATTGGACGCTTTCCAATTTTAGTTAGTTTATCAGCTTTAACTGAGGACCAACTTGTTCAGGTTACTTCATTAACTTTTTTGCTTGTGCCTTTTCAAATCTCTTTCAAAGTTGGACCAGATATTTTAGAAGTGTTTTCCATGTTCTTAAGCGGCTCTTTCCAATGGAATTTACACTAGTTGATTACGTCTCTTATGTTGGGTTCCTTAATAAAAAGTTTATTCCAAACCTCCCCAACAGATAAAAACTAATCTCCTGACTCCCTTCCCACCATTATTGGCGCTATACCTCTATTTTTGTTCTGGCGTACCAACTTTGACTTGCCTCTATTCCAAACAAAATATTTAAAGAAAAAAAAAAAAAAAAAAAAACTAATCCCAAGTTTTCATGCTTGGGTGCAGTTACCTGATGTCCTTTGTTTTTATTTTATCCCGCAGGTCCTCATGGAACCAAAAAATGCCCTTGGCAAGCAGTACAAGAAGTTATTTAGCATGAATAACGTAAACGCTTTGCCTCTCTTTACACACATGCTCATAAAGGCACTTATACACACACGGACATAAAAGTGTTCAATTTAATTATACTATATCCTTCTATAACATTTCAGGTTAAGCTACACTTCACGGAGAAGGCGCTGAGAATGATTGCAAACAAAGCAATGGCTAAGAATACTGGTGCGAGGGGTCTAAGAGCAATACTTGAAACTATTCTAACTGAGGCAATGTATGAGGTATGTTTCCAGCGCAATTAAACATTGAGCACAATCTGTTTCGAATTTTCTTTCCCGAAATTTGCTGTATTCTCTGACATAATTGCTTTGATACTTTTGTGCCAGATTCCAGATGTCAAAACAGGAAATGAAAGGATAGATGCTGTAGTAGTTGATGAAGAGTCGGTAGCTTCAGTGAATGGTCTTGGATGTGGAGGGAAGATTCTTCATGGAGATGGCGCATTGGAGCGTTATTTGGCAGAAAGCAAGTTGAAGGATTCAGTTGTATGATCTCAAATATGACACATTCACCCCATATTATCCAAATTGGTTTTTAGTGTTCATGTGTATTTAGAGATGAAACGTGTGAACTAATTTGGCTAACTTGGCTTGTTAGATAGACTTTCATGGGTTCATCTTACCTTTGATTATCAAAAAAAAAATCCCTTACCTTTCCTTTTGTCTGTAAATGGTTGCAGGAGAACGTAGAGGGAACTGAGGGAGAGTTGCAGGATGGAGAATCTGAACTTTCATCAAGAGCCATGAGCATGTAACACTAATACCATCTCGTTAGTTATTGTTTTCATCTTTGTCTCATTGTTATTTGTAAAAATCTCATTCATAATTCTCTCCAGTTATATCTCCTTGTAAAGAACAGTGTAGCTTCTAATTCAAGTTCACCAGATGGGTATAATCGAAAGGGAAAAAAATTTGGAATTCATAAAGAAAAAGATTGTATAAAGACCTCTTTAAACATTAATAAATGAGGGGATTTGAGTTTACACAAGTTTATATTCCTCACCAGGTTTCAGTTTTTAAATTGTGTTTAGTTCTTGAAAATGATAGTTTTGCGGATGGCTAAATTAACTTAATAGTTTCATGTTTCTCTCGTGTGACCACTAACTTGGAATCTGGTGAGGTGACTGGTTTTTTAATTTTAATTTTATTTTTGTTTTTGTTTTTGTTTTTATTGTTCATGGCCCCTCAACGCACCCGTGTGCACACACCAAATATAGGCACAATGTTTGTGAGGACGGCATAAGAAAATTAGAACTCTTAAGCAATGAGCATTTTGGGTAGTGGAGCCGTTTGCAAAAGTCGTTCAGTCTTTTTAGTTCTTTTATTTATTGGTTCTGAAGGAAGGATCCCCTTGTCACGCTAAACTAAAATGTAGTAGCTCGTGTTAGGATAGCTTCACTCAAGTTTTGGATGTTTTGCTGTGATGAAATTCTAAAACCAAAAGCGAAGTTGTTGTTGGTATTCCTTTCTTGAACTGGGAACAAAACGTGACAGCCTGAGCAAGCAGCATGTAGACAATGGCATACAAGTGCAGTGTTTTTTTTTTTCCGTCTTGCAAGTTACAAATAACTAGATGCCTCTACTTCCTGTGCTCTGAGACTGACCAAAGTCATTGGAGGAATACCTTGTTGATTACTGAAAACATTGTCAGGATCTATTAGGGTTTTGGCTCTGACCAACCTATCGAAGTTATCGAGAAAGTACTTCTCGCCCCAAACCCTGGCAATTTCCACAAAGTCATCGATGGTAGAATTAAGCATCACTCCGAGGTCAAAATCTATGTAGTTGACGTAAGCAACCCTCGGACCCCATGAGACATAGGGCGCCATTGAGTTATATAGTTGTCTTATCCAATTTATGTAGTCATTTCTTTTCTCATCGTCCTGCTGTTGCCATTCCACCAGGTATTGAATCGAGTACAGGTTGCCTTTTCTATGTGGGAAGGCTATAGAATAATTGCTTATGCGATCCATGATCCCTCCGTAAGGATCAAAGATGACATACCCTTTCGGCTGCTTCTCCAGTAGGTCTATGGCAGCCCTTATTCCTGCATAGGAAATTGGGGTGCGCACGTAGTCTGATTTGGCTTTGAAGTATTTCTTGTCTCGCAAATATCGATTTTGTAACTCTAACACCGAGCTTTCTGGAGGTAGGCCAGAGAAGAACACAATGGACTCAATCCAACTCATTTCTGCACAATCGTCTTCCATGACACCCAACTCTGGAAAGGCCCAGGCGAGGTGGGAGAGCGTATCGGCCTTGGATCCCAAATAAAAGCCTTTGAAAGTAGCTGATATTCCAATAGTAGACGTAGCTTCTGGCAAGCCGGCACCAACAAAACATGAGAGATAAAAGTCATCTCTCAAGTTAGGCGCAACATGTTGCCACTTGTAGACCAGCTTAGCAACCTGGTCTGAGGTGCCTGGTCGGGACACCACAAAGGTGGTGACGGTGGGTGGGACTTTAAGCAATTGGATCTTCCAAGCATAGAGAATTCCCCAAACACCCCCACCTCCACCTCGGATGGCCCAAAAGACATCCTCTCCCATGCCATGTCGGTCCAATAATTGCCCGTTAGCATCGACAAGCAGGGCATCCACCACATTATCAGCTGCAAGTCCATACTTCCTGGAGAGCAATCCAAAACCACCCCCGGCAATATGGCCGCCCACACCCACAGTCGGGCAAGAGCCTGCTGAGAAAGCATGAACATTGCTTGCTTTCGCAATGGCATAGTAGGTCTCACCAAGTGTTGCACCTGCTTCGACCCAAGCGGTTTTGGATTCCAAGTCGAGGGTGATCTGCTTCAAATTCATCATGTCAATGATGACAAAGGGCGGGGTGGCAATGGAGGAAGTGCCCTCATAGCTGTGGCCGCCGGACCTAACTATGATTTTGTAGGAGGCTTTTCTAGAGCACAAGACGGCGCTCGTTACTTGCGCTACATTGTGAGGAAGTATGATGGCAATTGGCTTGGGAATCGAGGGAGCCACAAAGCGCAAATTTTGGATGGAAAAGTTGAGCATGTTGTAATAGGAATAGGAATAGTCGTCAGCGGGCGTGCTACTAGTGTCGGGGAATGTGGTGAAGTTGTGGACGTCATGAAGTGTGAGACAGGAAGAGATCTGGTCTGTGGGAGCACCAGCTAAAGATAAAGGAACGGACATGAAGCACATAAACACGAGGCATAGGGAAAGCCCTGTAGCCTTTTTCTGCACCAAGTGCTTCTCCATAATATTGCCTCTATCGTTTTACATATATATATATATATACACACATCGAAAAACAAAAGATTAAAAAATAATAATAATAAGTAAGAAAGCATTCACATATGCAAACAACGACATGCGACGTACGTGCCACAACTCACAAGAATTTGGCTAGAAGAAACAAATAAGAGGATTTCTAGTTTAATGGATTAAAGAGGGAGAATAATATGATACATTATTGAGGACAAGGAGAAAGCGATCGTAGAATATGTACTACGTTGCCGGCGACCCAATTTATACATTCTGAATATTTAATGAGGCCAAACATCTAAGGAAACAAGTTTTGCACGATTATATAGGTTAAGGTGGGGATCCAGTGACAAAGACTCAATTAACTAGATTTCGTTTTATATGTATTACATATTCGAATTCATGTCTTCGTATGCATGCCGGCAGAACCAACCAACATTAATAAGACTTTAAGAGCTGTCCACAACTCATGACTTATCAGATAGCCGACGTTTGTAAGTTAGAGTTTAAAGAGTCGTGCAATTGGAGAAAAACCCGCAATTACTACCATTATTTTTGCCGGGCTATCCCAGGTGACTTGATGGTGTTTTCAGCTTCGTTTGTTGGTAAATGGAGTTGTTGCACTTATAGTAGTCAGATTTGCGGGAGAAAGAACTAAATTGCAGTTGTTTAAACAAATTATCACTCCAATTTCATATTAGAAGATTCCATCGACTAATGAAAAATTGATAATGAGTTGATATATTTATACATAAACTATATATATATATATATATGCACACTACATAAACAGTATATATATATATATATGTATATATGCACACTACATAAACAGTATATATATATATATATATACACGCACACACATTAATGATTAAAAATTTGGTCACTAGTGATATTTATTTATATAATATTGTGTAAAGTGTGTTGTATTGTATTACGGTATCGCAATACATTAAAGAAATTAATAACTTAATGCTGTGTTAGGCGCGATTTTATATTGTAATTATATATTTATAAACCGATCCAATTCGATCGTGGTTCTAGCCTGATCTGGACCCTAATCACTGCTCGACTCGACTCTGTCCCTAGTCGATCTTGCCCCAATATAGATGTTAGCCCGACCCTAACCCTAAAAGTGAAATAAATTCTTTTAAAATTGAAATAATTACAATACATGGTAAAATATAACAACTTGAGTTGTAATTTAGCAAAATTTTAAAATATTATAAAAACAAAAAAAAAACGTGGCATAATAATTGTTATAGTGGTATCACATTTGTATTATATAGTGATATAGTCATTGTTTTAATTTTATCACATTCGAGGGCATGTTACTTAAATCCGAGGGAACATTTGATGAACTAAGATTTTAGGGAAATTTTAAAAATATCCTCTTTTTATTACTATCTCTTAACATTACATCGTATATTTTTACCTTTTAGATTAAAATACTAATGAAAGATGGATTTAAATACAAAATGATATTTTTAGTATATCAAGTACTTAATCGGTTATCTTAGCATGCATCGATATTACGCACATTTTCGTGTGTGAACTAGGCCCAGTAGCTATAATACCCCTTGAATGTAATATCCGTTATCTCGCAAATGTTGATGGGCCCCCTGGTCAAGATGGAAGGAGGCGAGCCCATTTTAAAGATTTCGTCGGTTTAATCGAAGAAGAAACAAAACTGAAAATTCTGTGGTGTTTTGTTGTTGACTTTTTTCAGAAACAGAAGTGTGAGTGAGGGTTGAGTCAAAGGATGAAAAACGAGGAAGGGGAAAAGGGGCTGCCGTGGAAGCTACCGGCGATCAAATCCAAACATCTCGGGAAGGTGGGCCCCGCTTTCGGTGTCGGCGCTGGCTGCGGCGTCGGCGTCGGCGTCGGCGTTCTCGGCGGTACTCGTTTCTTTCTTTATCCCCTTTCTTTTTTCCCCTCTCTCTCTCTCTCTCTCTCTCTCTCTCTCTCTCTCTCTGGGTTTTTGCATTTACACCCTCGCACATGAATTGTTATGCGATGCTTTAGCTTTATTTTAATGATTTACTTTATGGAAAGGAGTTTCAGGCTGCAATTCTTTCTCAACTTAAAAGTGTTTGTTGAATTTTATTTTTATTTTGTTTAGTGCGGGTAGGTTTGCAATTTAATTTTGCTCTCTCGAGCTGAAGACTAAATTTGTTGTCTATGTGATGTCTCATCTCTATACAACAACGGAGTTAACGGCCCCGATCTATTGGTGTAAGAATATATGACATGACAATTGGGGTTACTTTCATTTCATTAATCTTCTTTTTTTCTTAGCCAAAAAAAAAAAAAAAACAACGGTAAAGACACTCATCTAAATTACAAACATTAAACATACGATATTAGATTTAATCGGTTTCAAGCCAACTGAAACTGGCCTCGGCCTTAGCTAGTAGCAAGTAGCAACTGCTATAAAGCCTAATTTCGGTGCAACTAAAACTCTCAGCTTGTTTTGTTTTGTTATGTTGAACTAGCAGGTGCAGGTTTCGGTCCCGGAATTCCTGGCCTGCAAGTCGGTTTTGGTGTCGGTGTTGGATGCGGAGTTGGCGTCGGATTTGGCTATGGATTGGGTAGGGGCGTTGCTCAGGATGGGAACCGGAGATACTCAAATATTGCAAATCTCAACTCTGCTTCTTCAAATTTTCCCACACGGTGAGTTCACTTCATACAACTTGAATTTGTGATCACCAACTGTAATTCGAGGATACATCGAATAATATTACATACATGTGATGTGACGACGAGCTGCCGAGAAATTTGCATTTTGATCTAATGTACTTTGTGGCCTGCGGAGGTTACAACTTGAATTCTTTCGTTTTCTTTCCTTTTCTTAAGGAGTGGAATTGAATTGCGTGCTCTGGTTTTGACCAGTAGAAGATTAAAACTGAGGAGGTTACATTGGTTTTTTTTTTTTTTTTTTTTGCAGGGATGAGATTGGTGTACTTATTGATGAGCTTGTGGATAATACCAAGAAGCTTGTGAGAGCCACCTCTAGGGAATTTGACAAGTGGAGAAGATGATTTTCTTTACTTTGTGGTTGTGGCCCGAATTAAACTTCTTATTATTATTTGTCTACTGTTTGGTTGGTTGGTTTTCATGGTTTGTAAATTTTAACACAGTTTAAAGCTTCTCACTCATTTATGTACGTCAATGCGACTATGTACTGTAAAATTCTCTTTCTAAGGCAATTTGGTTTCAATTTCTTTGTCTCTCTTTTTTTTTTGTGGGGTTAATATAGTGTAAAAAACTTTCTTATGCAAACATTTACCGAGAGGGGGGAAAAAATAAGAGGAAATTGATGGAATAACCAACGGTTCTCTCTCACTCTGGATGCGGAGTACGGAGGGATTTGTCCACGCAGGCAAAATGAAAATGGATGGATGAGAATGTGTGCATATATTTCAGGTTTAAAAAAAAAAAAAAAAGGATTGGATAGGCCATGTTATCCAGGAGCATGACACGTAAGCAACATGATCTGCCATGTCAGAGCAGGCAGCCTATCAAATGAGGGTAACGGATTGCAGACCAATTGAAGTGAAGGAATGGAAATCCGAGGTGGCACGTCCACATCCACCGGCTCAAGCATATAGCATGTTTTTTGGAGTATGCACTCCACCATTTGCCATTGTATTGTATTCATCTACTAATCGTGAGAGGCAGAGTTTTTTGACCTCCAATCCAATCCAAACCAACCCAAAAAACATGGCTTCTCTGGCAGCAACTACGGCAGCTGCCTCCCTCGGGGTGTCGGAAATGTTCGGAAACCCTCTCAACTTCAGCGGGGTGGCCAGGTCAGCAACTCCAAGTGCTTCGAGCGCAGCCAGCTTTAAGACAGTGGCTCTCTTCTCCAAAAAGAAGGCCAAGGCAAAGCCCGCCGCGGCTGTTTCTCCTGTCGATGAAGAGCTCGCCAAGTGGTATGGTATGTACAATGTTCATGCCTACTCATCTTCCTGCTAAATTTGTATCTTTTCATTTATAATTTTCTATCTCTGAGTCTCACTGACCCATTTTTCCAATATTTCAGGTCCCGACAGGAGAATTTTCTTGCCTGAGGGCCTCCTCGACCGTTCTGAGATCCCCGAGTACTTGACCGGAGAGGTTCCTGGAGAGTAAGATTCTGCCAACACTCTCTTGTTTTTTTTTTTTTTTATATGTGATAATCAAACTTAACTACACCAATGCAGGCTTGTTTTTGACCCTTGTTTTTCTTGTATATATAATGCTGGTGCAGCTATGGTTACGATCCTTTTGGGCTGAGCAAGAAGCCTGAGGACTTCAGCAAGTATGTTGCTTTTTTATTTTTTATTTTTTTCTCTACAGAAGTAGTTAATTTCTATTTGTGTTGTTTCTGGTTGAGAGTTAAATGAATTTCTGAATGTGCAGGTACCAAGCAAACGAGTTGATCCATGGTCGGTGGGCTATGCTCGGAGCTGCCGGCTTCATTATTCCAGAGGCCTTCAACAAATTCGGTGCCAACTGTGGCCCCGAGGCTGTCTGGTTCAAGGTTTCCCCCTTTCCTATTATTATTATTATTTTTTTTTTATTGCTCTGCTTTTGTTCTCATTCATGTTGTGCTTAATTTCTTTATTTTAAGCTGAAATGGATCAATATTGCAGACAGGAGCTCTACTGCTTGACGGCAACACATTGAATTACTTTGGAAAGAACATTCCCATCAATCTAGTTCTTGCTGTCATTGCTGAGGTTATTCTGGTTGGTGGAGCAGAATATTACAGAATCATCAACGGCTTGGTAATGCATTGCAATAGAGCATTAAAATGGTTTTGGTTTTAATTTATGATTGATTCTAAGTTCTAAGCGAGTGAAACATTACATGTACTATGTATATTTGTAGGACTTGGAGGACAAGCTTCACCCAGGTGGTCCATTTGATCCACTGGGGCTTGCAAAGGATCCGGACCAGGCAGCAATTCTGAAGGTGAAGGAGATTAAGAACGGGAGACTCGCAATGTTTGCGATGCTTGGTTTCTTTTTCCAAGCCTACGTAACAGGGGAAGGCCCCGTCGAGAACCTCGCCAAACATCTCAGCGATCCTTTTGGAAACAACTTGCTCACTGTCATTGCTGGATCTGCCGAAAGAGCTCCAACCCTCTGATCATCTTCTTTTGTTTTAGCTTTCACAAATCTTAATTAGCAAATCCACTGTTGAGATTTGTTGTACACCTTTCATGGATACATGTTAATTAAGGCGCTTATTAATCTCTGCTCACCGGCTTGAACATTGTGAATTCTCGTTTTTCATTTTATTTTATATTTATATGGAGAGGAGATCAATGTTTATGCTGTATTTCAAGTACGCCTATTACCTATACAAATGTTGCGACATTGCCAATTATGACCTGCTCCATTAATTAATTATTATTATTATTATTTTTTTTTTTTTTTTTATGTTGAGTTTGTTGTCCCTAATTTGCATGATCTTAAGAATTTTCCTCGCTATATAGATACGTCTCATGTCATGTTGTTGTGAAGCCCCAAAGACAGGTTGAAATAACTTTTGTTTCTCAGTAATAGACGGGTATCAAACAATGGCCTTTCAAAGAGTTATAAAATTCGTGTAATCCATTGGTTTGCCTTTTCATTTTCACGTTCAAAGAAAACCTCTCTTCTTAACAGGATTTTCCTCTCTTCTTTTATGATAAGCAAATCTATTATAGGCCATATCTAAAAGCGCTGATTTTCTTTTATGAATGATGATTAAAACTAGAAAGGAAAGCATTAAGACAAGTAAGCATTGCGGTCTCAACTTGAAAATCAAAGCATAGTAGTAAGTTGCATATCCATTCTCAACCAGCATATGGATGGAGAATGAATCTCAACCGTCTGATCGGAGTAATATCCCTAAATACAATCCAAACCATAGGCTTATACATATAATTAATTAAGGAGTATCTAGTTCCATCTCCAAGTAGAAGTTGCAAGAGAGAGAGAGAGAGAGAGAGAGAGACTGAGAAAGAGGGAGGATGCGAAATGAAGAAGCTGAGAGGGAGTGATGAGATCGACCTAAGTCCTAACCATGGTTGGTGGAGTTAGTGGAGAAGAAGCCAAAGGGAAGCCAAAATATCTCCCGAGGGCCGTATGCAGATGTTTTGAGCTCCACATCCGTCAATGGAGTCGCCAAAACGGTGATAACAAAACTAATACTCTAACCAAATACTACTATGCCCTAGCTGCTTCTATCTAAAGTTAGTTAAATGGGGCCAAAACTCCCAAAGTTTGGCCCTCAACAACATGAATTTACAACAAAAGCTTTAAACATGAGTAAGCAAGTGGGTTGCTTTCCCCTTACCCTGAGGGGAAGATGGTTGGTTGGTTGGTTAGACACGTGATTAAGTGTGAAAATTCAAAAATTTGTTTGGTAAAAACCATTTTTTTTTTTCCTTAAAAGAGACGTGAGAATATTCCTAGCTAGCTATCTAGCTGATCTAGAGAATATATCTACCCTGCATATCCTAAGACTAGATATTGTCAACAGCCAAAATATTCAAGCAAATCCATGCCCACATGAGAAGTTGCCATTTAAAATTAGAGCGAGCTGCCTAGTCCTTAGTCTAGCTAAGAAGTGTGTAATTGCAAGTTAATTAGCCGAAGATGGATCGGGGATTATCCATTTTCAAGACTAACTAACTAATGTCCAGAGTGAAGAGGGGCTTGAATTTACAATATTTGCAATCCAAAGTGAGGTTATTATAACATCTTTGCTTAACCTTTGATGGGCTAATTAGTAGTGTCACATGTTCTACTCTTTCTTCTTTTTTTTTTCCTTCCGACATTTGTATTACCAAAGCCCCATCCGGCCGGGGCAGTTGGAAACAAATTGAATCGAGTGATGATACATACCAACTGATGGAGCTAAATCCAACATTAGCTTTGGAGTTGGTTGTCAAAGTGATTTTGGTTCTCTGCGTGGAACCCTTTTTTTTACTCAAAAACAAACAAAAAAAGGAGGGGATGCAAGGGGGGTGGGGGGAATGCATGACACAGAGACACACCTCCGTGACCAAATTTGGAGGTGAGTCGTCCAGTGTTGAGCTCCTTTGGAGAGCATTTTGTGTGGGCCCGATTATGCAAAACCAAAAAATTAGCTTTGCATTAATGGGCCTCCATCTGAGTTAGTGTGGGGAAGTGGGAGGAACCATGGTTAGGCCGAAGGTTGCTGATCCATGAAAATGTTCAGAAGCATGTATAAGATGCAGCTGATAATGAGTATGATGGTGATGAATATTTTTAAGTCTTAAGAGGAGCCACTTTTTGATGCGTGAATGATCTCTAGCGATGGGGAATTGGTGCATGGTGGACGGCCATTGTCACGCCTGTGGCACAGCAAAGCACACTGTCAAGGATGTTAGTATCTCTCTTTTTTTTTTCTTTTTTTTTTTTTAAATAAAAAATAGATCGCATTCTTGAAGATATATAATACAAACCTGCGGATTGCAAGGCGGGGGAAGGGGCAAGAGACATGGGAGTAGCGTAGTGCTGAGCTGGGTAGGCTGAGGAATATTGAAAGAGGTGGCCGTGAGGGTATTGAACACCGCCATACCCCTGTCCTGAACTCGTATACCCCGTGGCTGCCGCCGCGGTCGTCCCAGCCTCTCCGAACTGGAGGGACGGGTAGAACCCGCCCCTCATCTTCCCCCCCGCCGGTCCCGCTGTGCTCCCATACATTGGGTACTGCGTTGTCCCTCCTCCGTACAGTCCATAGTAGCTCTGATCCATGCATGCATCACACAACCACACACAACCCTGTTACTTCTACGTACATATACATGTCATCTACTATTCACCAATCAATATTAATTAAGCCTTTCTTGGCAAATAAATCTTTACATTGCTATTACGAGTACACCTTTTAAGCATTTCTTGGCAGATAAATCTTTACATTGCTATTATGAGTACACCTTTTAAGCATTTCTTGGCAAATAAATCTTTTCATTGCTATTACTAGTACACCTTTTAATTATGATTTCTCCTGCTGTTTCTTAGCTCGTGTTCATTATTATTATTATTACTATCATCATCATCATCTTACTTTTCCTAGTGAAGAAAAAAACAGTAAATCCCTGAAAGAAAAAAGAAATCGAGATGATGCCAAATGGGAAAATTACTAGCTAGCAGAAAAATTAGCCTGTGTCACGTTCGGCTAATAGTTTGTACGAGATACAGAGCAACACAGATAAATGCTTTAGCGGAGGGAAAAAAAAAGAAAGAAAAGAAAGAGTATTGCAGATAAATTCTGTTATGTTTTATTATTATTATTGTTAATACTATTAGTTATTTGTTTGTTAGTATAAATGTGGGAAGGTACTCGAAATTTGTTTAACTTTAAAGAAAAATAAAGTGGCAGAATTTTCAAGGAAGTTGAAAAGTCATAGTCTTCCAAAAAAAGGTACAGGTAGTTCCAACCGAATCCTAAGTAAAATGCAAAAGCCAAACGTACAGTAAAAATATATAAAACAAAAAAAAAAGAGAGAGAGAGAGAGAGAGAATTGAAAAGGATAGAGATAGAGAAGTATATACAAACCGTGGGCGTAGGGTAGGTGTAATCCGGCGAGTAGGGAGAGTACCTAAGCAAAAAATAAAAAGAAAGAATAAGCAGTTTAATTTCATATATGAAGATCAAAAATAAAGATTTAGAGTGATCATATATAACTACGACGTATAGTATGTGTATATGCAGAAAAAGAAATATATATATATATATATATATATATAACATATATATATGGGCCTTGTTTTGTTGAGGAAGAAGCAGTAAATAGTCATAAATAAGCATATGTGAATATATATATATATATAACTATCATTTAGCATGCACGTAGAGAGAATGGTATTTAGGCGTAGGGTTACTTTCTTAAAGTTAATAATGTATCATATGAGTTGGCAAATGCACGTGCAGAGACACAGATTGGCGGGTTTTCTCCTAATTAGTTTGATATATATATATATATATATAAATGCCATTACAATATAACATGCGTGATGATGATGATGATGGTATACATATCATGTATATTAAAAGCATACATCCAGCATGGTGCATGGGGATGATATATATATATATATATATATATGTATGGTATACCCATAAAGATTGTAAGGAAGTCCTTGGTGGATAGCGGCGGCGGCGGCGGCGGCAGCATAATGAGGGAAGGTTGGTGCGGAGGCAAAGGCAGCAGTGGTTCCAACCCCAACCCCAACTCCAAATCCTGCTCCATTACTACCAGTCTGCGTATGATTATGTGTATACGACCCTGCAGCTCCCATTGCTCTTATATTCCTCCCTCCTCCTCCTCCTGCAAATATCATTATTATATATCCATTTTGTTTTTCTTCTCTCCACGAAATATTATAAATATATTCAGAGCTTGATAAGTACTGATGATCTACTATATATGTATGTATTTTCCCTTTCTAAAACAAACTAAAACAAAGAAGGCCGGGGTACACCAACTAGGCGATCGAGTCCGTATAATTAAATGTACTTTCTCCGTTCAGCGACCTTAACAAAAGCCAGAACTATCAACTAAGATTACTACCTACCTAACTATATCAATGTGCTGGAATATTCTTACATTGTGTTATTGTACTATTGATCATCATCACTCCCATAATTAAATCAGTACAATGTAGCTGTAATTGGTATAGAAACATAAATATAATATTACTGTAACCATAATTAATATACGGCCGCAAGTGAAATGCCGGATTTTTTTTTTCTTTTCTTTCGATCGCAACTATTCCAGATCTGGTGATCTACACTTTTTGTTAGACTCTTTTTGTAGATTTAACTACTTCAATGCTAACTTTAGAAATGAAAGAAGAAGAAGAAGATATAAGAGTATGAAGAAAATTATATATATATATATATAGATATATATATGTGTGTACCTGGTGCATGCTTAGGGGTAGAAGGCTTGGATCTCTGAGCACCCAAAGAAGCAAGATTGCAATTTGCTCTCCTCCCGTCTATTACTGGAGCTGGATCCACACAAGCTCTCATCGCCGCTTCCGGCTCACGAAATGTCACCTACGTGCGTACAACAAATATAAATACATATATTCATGTACATATATCATATATATTCCAACTACGACTAATTAATTGGATAATTAGTAATTAACACATCAGAATAACTAGATCAAACCTAGCTAAATTGAAACTGCAGCTATAAATATAATATATATCTATAGATATGATATGTATATATATAAATATATATATATATATATACATATGATCATATCATGATGTTCATTTGGAATCTTTCAATATTTATAGTTAATATTTGTTTCAAGATCTAGTTCTAGTTCTAGTTCTGACAGATTAGAATGCTGCAGCAGTAATAATGGACACGATGTGATATATGTCTATATTAAGAAAAGATAAATAGATAAAAATGAAGAAAGAAAATTAAACTGAAAGAAGAAGAGGACGCAGCATGAATATATATATATATATAGATATATATAGATATATATAAAGTAGTACAGAGAGACGTACGAAGCCGTAGCCTTTGGATCTTCCGGTGGCCTTGTCGGTGATAACAACGGCCTCCAAGATGTCACCAAACTGCTCAAAGTAGTTCTTCATGGTCTCCTTCTGAGTCTCCCAAGCCAGTCCTCCCACGAACACTTTGGTGTATGTCGTGTCCCCGAACTGCCCTGCCAAGTTCGCTGGAGTCATCTCTAATTTTTCTTCTTCTCTGGGATCGATCAATATATGTGTATTTATGTATGATTTTGATCAGATCTAGCAAAGCTGCTACTCAGACTACTACGTAAGATCCAACACCCACGAGAGAGATCAGAGAAAGAGATATTAGCAATTAGCAATTAGCAATTAGCAATTAGCTATTAGCTATTAGCTATTATCTATTAGCTAGCTATGTCAGAAACAAAGAAAGAAAGAAAGAAAGAAGGAGAGAGAGAGAGAGAGAGAGAGAGAGAGAGAGAGAGAGAGAGAGAGAGAGCTGAGACAGAAGATTAATATTGAGAGTGAGGGAGGGAAGGGAAATTGAGACTAATTGAGAATGGGAGATAGAAGAGAGAGAAAGCAAAAGCAGCAAAACAAAAAAGAGAAAGAGAAAGAAAGAGAAAGAGAAAGAGAAAGAGAGAGAAAGAAAGAGGGAGGAAAGAGAGGGTCTCATAATACGGACATGAATTATACACATAAGCATCCCCCACCTTCTTACATTATTATTGCATTTTCTATTTCTCACTCTCCCACGCGCCTCCTTCCCTTCGTCTTTTCAAACTCCTCTTCCTCCCTCCCTCACTTCCAAATTCCAAATTCCACGCCTAATCATGAGCGTGGGGTGCCTTCTTCTTGTATTATTATGTCCTTCACGGCTGTCCTCTCCTTCAATTACCAAACACCCCCCCGCCTTTCTCCCTTTATTTGCGCTTCATAATTCATACCAAAGCGAACGGGATGCTTTCTAGCGAGGGCACAAACGGAACGGAACGGACCAAATTCACGCGGGAACTCGACACCATTATATAATGTTATAACTCGTCTCTTGCTAATTTAATTTAACAAACAAAACATTTTATAATAAATACTTATCTATCAAAACTAGGAAAACAAAAAACAAAAGCTGTTGAATGATGATGATGATGTTTTAAAATCAGTACCCAGGTGCTAGCATGCTAGGCTGCTCCTCAAAGCTGACAAAAAATAAAAATAAAAAAAAAAACACTTTGTTCTTTCTTCATTATATGTTTTTATAGCTGTTTATTTCATGATCTCTTCATCTGATTAAGAGGGGGTATGGAATTAAACCTTCATGAGCTTATAACAAATAAGAAAAAGGGTGGGGGATGGGAGAATGAGGAGTGTTATCTGGCAAATGGGGGTAGCTGTCTCCCAATTTATTTGACCAAAGAAAGTGACAAATCCCATTCTCCTTTGGAACATTTTCACAACACACATATGACATATTATATACATGATCATATGAGTGACTCACTTTCACTTTGGGACATGGGGAATTGAGGTTACTGTCCTCTTAGGACCACAGAGTCATGTCCTAAAACTAGACGTAACATTAACATAAACGTAATAAAAACTAACATTCTCTCTCCATCCAAAGCAAAGCAAAGCGAAGGCCAAAGCCCAAAGCGCAAAGCCCAAAGGAAGAGAAGAGTCAGAGAAGAGTCAGAGAGACAGAAAGAGAGAGAGAGAGAGAGAGTGTGTGTGTATGACCAAACTCATACACACAACATGCCTGTTTCGCAGCAGCTTTATTAATATTTATGCCCACCTTCTCTAGGGCCCACTCCAGCTCACTTTCACTCATCTTCTGCCCCCCCTTCCCTTTGTCTTTCTTTTTCCCCCACTCATTTCTTTCTCTCTCTTCTCTTTCCTTTTACCTTTTCTCTTCCCTCACCAAAAAAAAAAAACACATTATTATAGCTATTCAACAAAATATATATATATATATTATTGTGAATTGTGGTGCTTTGGTCATCACATTCACATATCTATGACTGCAGCCAACAACCAGTGCGGCCCAAGTGTCCAATAATTAAACTGATGCTGGTCCGCGGTTGTTCGTTCTTTCATTTTATCTTTTCTCCCCTTAGTCTCTGCCTATATTCGAGTTGTAACTTCAATTCAACCGTTTTACCGGTGCGTCTGCGTCTTCTTCCATAAACAAAAATGTTTTCCAAGTAGAATACTTTTCATTTTTCAATCCATCATCAAGGAAAGGATATCTTTACTATAAGGATTATTTTTTTCCCCCTTTGTTCTTTGCAAAATTATCTTCAAGTCCACCCAAAAAAAAAAAAAAAAGAGCACTTCGCTTTTTCATCCTTGTCACTTGCACGGTTTTAGTATCAAAAGTTACATTAAGCAAAGCAAAATGTCACTGCAAAGCCTACATACTTAATAGTTAATAGCACACTAGACCCTGATGAAGTTTCCTTTCCAAAAATTTGTAGGATTTGTCGAGGAGGCCTTGGCGTGTCTACACCAAATCCTCATGATAGAGATGAAGGCCGAGTCCAAAACGTGCACAAGCTCGGCGGAACGCCATAGCTTCTGCCTTCTGAATAGGATCCCCATAACTTGTGTCATCTAAAGTAGCAGTCCCCGTCGACTCCCTGAATATCTGCACCACAACGCCAACAAAATGTCCACAAATTCAAGTCAATAGTTATCTTCTTGCATCACAAAATCTTCCACATATTTTATGGTTTCAATTACTAGAACATTGTTGATATTCATCTTAGAATCGTTTGGCAAGGCCACCTAAAGCACACAAGGAACCGAACACAGCCAAATTCCGAAATTCATCCAATCATAGTTCATGCTCGGGGCAATTTGCCATTTCTCAGTGCTTAAGCAACTGAATTTGGTGATGACAAAGGGTTTCTCTCCCGCGTGTAGAATCAGCTTTGAAGATGGACAAACAGGAGTAAAACCAAACATGAAATCCAACCAAATAAAATGTTTTAGGGTAATGCCTTGTCAAAATCAAGAAGAAACAGAAAACAACAGTCCAGAATTGCAATCTCTTATGTTGTAGTGGTGCTCCTACTAGGATAAAAAGTACCTACCTAATATTGTTTGTCAAAAGCTTAATTATTATTATACATCCAAGCTTGACATGGTCCAGAGTTGGAATTCCAAAATGAAATCTCAGCGTGTTGTTAAGAGAGTCTTTTCTCTATTTCAAATGAACATAGGTTGGATGATCCGTTCGTGACAAAAATTGAAATTGCAAAAAAACTAATAAACAGAATGTTGATCATCCTATAAGTTATAAGCATACCTCAGCATCAGTGCCATAGAGAGTGACGCGGTAAACAACAGATACAGATTTTCCATCTGGAGAATAAGTGATGCTTCGGGTCTCACCGGACCACTCTGAAGCACGATCAGCGCGTTAATGAAAGGCATTTAGAGAGTAAATTCAGGGTTGAGTTGAAATAACAATAATCACATATCACATATCAGGTCAGGGACTGACTGGTAGTAACAAACCTGGAGCATGTAAGTTCATGATTCGGTTAACAATATGCCTGTTCCAAACAAACGAGTGTTAGTGCGTTAAACACACAGCACTTACTGTTTTGTTTTTGTAGAAGCAAAAACAACAATGATATACCAAAAGTGTCCGCAATTATCTAACACAGTCAGTAATAAGGGAATTTTACAGATTCAACCAAAAAGAAAAGAAAAGACTTTGAATAGACGAATTCACAAACACAAACATTTGGATTTGGTGATTCGATTCGACAGAACACAGAAGAAGATGATGCATACGCTTACTCTAAAACTCACTAAATTGATTCAATTAGTTAACTGAGCTGAAAAGGCATTGGAATAATTGATTCAATCATTTCGCGTAATATTCCTTCCATCTGGGTCAAACAATCCCTAACCTTTTTTTTTTTTTTTCCCCAACTGAGAGAAAGAAGCATATCATTATTATCATATAAGAAAAATGATAGATTTGAGTAGAAGAAGAAGAATACCAGGGAATGTATTTGGTGGAAACGCCATTGTCGAAGCGGACTTTGACGAGGGAATCGGGGACTTTCTTGTTGAGTTGTTTGAGGATATCGGAGATGGGCTTGCTGATTCCCGAGCTCACTGGAAGCTCCTCTTCTGAGGAAAAAGGGGATTCCTTTGCTTCTGATGATAAAGACGACGACGACAACGACGAAGCCAATTTGGCGTGGCACCGCCGTGAGCTTTGAAATGAAACGGCCGATTTCAACACAGAACCACCACAGCAAGACCGCCATTTCGACAGACTCGCCATTCTTTTTGTTTTTTTTTTTTTGGGATTAAAAGTTTACTTTTAGGCTTTGATTCTGGTCGATTGCAGTCCCGCTTCTTTCTTATTCAGTCTCTTCCAGTAGCTTTTCCTTCTCCAAACACCAAACACCAAACGAAATGCGGCGTTAGCTCTGCTCAACAAAACTCCCCGAGTAAAGTTAACCTGTCTAAGCGCGACATCTTCGTTTGTGTCCAATGCATACTCTTGTCGTTTGTCAGTTATTGTCGTTTTCATGCTACCCTTCTAAACGTTTTGTCGTTTGTCAATTCATCAGTTATGTTGTCGTTTTTTACGTTATTGTGGAGGCGTTCTTAGATTCATTTTGTTTGTGAATGCCTTTTAAGTGAATGGTCCTAATAAGTTTTGGACAAAAAAATAAACGGAAATGGTAGAAAATAGGCCAATATGAAAAACTTAAGAAAGTATATAGGTCAACTTTTAGTTATAGAAATTAATAGACCATAATTTGTCAAGTTATGGTTCATAACCAGATAAGTTATGGACAAGCTTGTCAAGTTATAGTTCATAGCCAGACAAGTTATGGACAAAAATCGTGATTTATGGACAATAACTTGTCAAGTTATGGTTCATAACCAGACAAGTTATGGACGAAAACAGTAATTTGGCCTATTTATTAACTTATGTAAACTATTGGCCTATTAATTTTAATTCATCTCAAGTCTTGGCATATTTTTCTCTTTCTCCCAAAAATAAATAAATTATAAACAAATAAAAACAAAGCATAAAATTGGTTATAATAATTTTAGTGACTTCTTCCATCACATTTCTCCTCTGGCAACCAGCGGTTGTTTCCCAACACGCTACACCCCAATAGAAATTATTAACAGAAATTAAGAGATGATAGATGTGACGACTCTTACTTTTGATCATCATTATTACATTCATACATAATTCATTTTTTATACACATATTGCAGCGTTCTCAATCCCGCAGTGCGTCCATCACCCACTTGCCTACACTCTACCGCTACATCCTTTCTGCACACCCAACAACAAGTTTCAGGGAGCCAGTGCCTTACCCGAGCTTCCTACAACACGAACAAACTTAATGATATACTTTCCAATATTTAAGTTTAAATATTATTAAGGATTTTAAACATTTTCAATATCTATATTTTCATTCCAGAAGTGTGTGGAGACATATTTTCTTGATCCATTATTCTAAATATCTTTTGATATTTATCTTTTACTTTTTTTTCTTTATTTCTTTTTCCTTTTTTTTCTTTTTTCTTTCTTTTTTTTCCCTCTCTCACCATGTCACTCTCTCTCTCTCACTCTCTCCCTTTTTCTTGACTCTCATTCTCTCGTTCTCTCTTCTCTTCAAACTCATTTCCAAGGGAGTTTTGACTAAGAATTGAACCAAAAAGGGAACCTTAAGAAGTTTTCAATATCAAAGGGAGGATTGGGGGTACGATTTCTGAAAAACCTCTCTTGAATCTTGTATTTTTCCTTTGGTAACACTTATTTTCAGTTTAAGTTTGATTTTGATGGTTTGATGGAAATCATGGTGAGATTTGGGGAAGTTTAATTCTTTGGACTTGATTGAGTATTTGGAACCTGGATTTGTTATTTCCTTTGAAAATATTTCAGAATTGAACTCGAATTTGCAAGTTTTGGCTCTGTTTTCTTCGGATTGGCCTTGTCGGTCGATCTGTACAGCTCCCACCAGTCAACTAAGGCGGTCGACCGGTCCCTTCTTCACAAGCTAACCGGTGGAGAACAATTTCTCTGTCACTGGTCGACCGGTGCACACTTGGTTCGGGCCTGATTCATTTTAAAACCCTGATTTTGGTCGAAATTCAATGGAGAACCTAAATTAGTTTCATTTGAGAACTCAAATGAGTTGATTAGCCACATTAATCATTGTTCTATCTTATTTTCTTGTGTGGGTTCCAATTCTCAAAGAATCATGATTTGAAGTATGAAATGGTTTATGAACTTTGAACTTAAGTAAAGGCAAGAGTTTAACACAGCATTCAATGCCTATTTCTTAAATACAGTCTAAAAATCGGTAACTACATCACACTTCAGAAATTTCTGAGCTTTAGCTTATAATTTGCTATTCCACATTAATATCAACAAATACTTACCATAAAAGTATTCATATTAATGATATAAATGATTCTAGAAAATTTTATTTAATACAATAATTCTGCTAAATTTCCCGTGACAGTATAATTCAACTAGTCTCATTTTATTTTACTATGAGAGAAACTTTTTCCAAAGAGAGAAGAAAACGGTGTAGTAATTAAACTCCAACCCTCCAAGAAAAGAAAAGAAAGAGAAAAGGCAGTCAAAGTCAAAGGAGAGCCATCTGTTGGACGTTGATTGGATAACAATCAGTAGGTGGGCCCAAATAAGCGCGCCAAGCAAGGACGGCATTGGCAGCCTCGGTGGGATGAAAGGCGTCCCAAAACAAATGGTCATTGCGGTTGTCGCAAGGCACCTGAAACGGCATGCACGTGATTTGGCCTTGGTTCCTCCCTATTCCGCAGCACGCCGTGTCTATGACCTTGAACCCGTAGGCCGCCGGGTTGTTAAGGATGTCCCCGAACGCCCCGTACGTGTTCCCGTACAGGAACATCGCCCCCGTCCCCGTGTGGTTGCGGTTCAACAACTCCACTTGGGATTTTAGTCCTTCGTTGAAGCTCCCCAGCATGCTGTTCACGTAGTCCGCGCACCTGCTTGCGTGCAATGAATTAGCACGTGTGTATATATATATATATGCATTCTTATATAATTATATGTTAACAGAACACACACACACACACATATGTATATGTAGATGTATAACATAAAATGAGTGTTTTACAGTAATACCTGCCTGGGGGCGCCTTCCCGCTGGCTCGCTGGTTGGGGATGCAGCCGAGGGGGCCAATTCCAGCGACGAGGAATTTGCGAAATCCGAGGGAGTGGAGTGCGAGAATGTGGCGAGTGTAATGGCTGAGGAGGAGGTTTGCAAATTGGGGTGGAGTGTAGGTGCAGGCGGAGGAGTAAATGGAAGGCAAGAGATAGTTGTTAATGTAGTCATTGCTTCCCAACACCAAAACCACTATGGACTTGGCCAGGTACTGCCTCAGACTACTCCCGCTCATCATTCTCCCCAGCTCATTCTTCAGCGTCCTCTCGAAGTTCATCACTTGTTGGCTCATACTATACCTCTCTCCCTGCGCCATTTTTTTATTATTATTATTTTTATTTTGACTAAAATATATGTGTCATAGGTAAAAGAATTGGGACAAATTCAGTAAACAGAATTCACATAGTTTGAACACAATTATGTTATATGAATTTATGACACGATAGTAATACATACAAAGTGTTGCCCTGTTTCATCAAGGATGCCTCCTGCTGCCGATGCATAATTGACTCCACCAACTGCTCTGCTTCCCGCTGTATTTTCAATCTCTTTAAACGCCGGCAAATACGGAAGACCCAGCAGCGCCCCTATATATTTATCATTATAATTAACACACACACACACAAATCCATTTCAATTTACAACCCATTATAAAAAACAATCTATAGTATTATTAGTATAATACTACTAATTGCTTTGACAATGGATGGACAGTCTACTTAATTAATGAACTAATTACTATTACCGAGCATATCAACAATAGTTCTGCCATTGGTGAATCTGCCAGTAGAGCCTCCGTTGAAGTCACAACCATAAGGATAATAATTGGCTTTAGCCAAGGACCTGAGGTTGTTGTTGTTGCCATTGTCCACCAATGAGTCACCAAACACAAACATCGCCGGAACCTGCGGTGACCCAACCGCGGCTGCTAGCCCCATTTGCAAACTCACAGCAGCCGCCAACAATGCTGCGGCGACCGCTACCCACAGCCGTCGATTACAGCTCACAACAACCACCCTCATCATCACCATGTGTATATGTATGAACAATTAAAGGCTTACTAATTAAGTACCTAGCTATATATATATATATATATATATGTGTGTGTGTGTGTGTAACTGTGTGTGTGTAAAAAGGCTATGATCAATATCCAATATCATTCATGACCTGTATACACGCGTTATGTAACGCTTAAAAGTATGCATGAAACGATATAACATGTCATCAAAGCTTACTATTATAAGCCACAAAATGTTGCTTTTTCAACTGGCTTTAAGGCGTCCTTTTTGACGACCGTTTTCCCTTTTGTATTGTTGTTGAAATTTGTTAGCAAGATGATGATGATGTTATATGATCCGTTTTCACTTGTGCATGGAACATGTTAGCAAATGACATCATCTCCTCATTGCTTGTTGGTTTTAAAATAAAGTTCATGTGGATTTGTACTGATCAACTTGAACCGAGTGGTGTTTATCACGTTTCATACTTTCCTTAGAGATAAACCCATTCATTTTGTTTATGTAGCCATATGTGTGTGGTTGAGTACTAAAGGGACGAAACGAAGCGCCTCCAAAGAAACCTATATGTGTGTGTGGTTGAGTACTGCATCACGGTTAGAGATTAATGACTTCATTTTGTTTTGGAATTGCGTGTCTAAGACCTCATATAATTGAAACTCAGTGATGCAAAAAAGGTATCTACACAGGCTTCTCGTAGTGATCTTCACTTTCATCTTGTTATTGAAGGTCCTATTCTTTATGCTATTGGTCATGTTTTACTTCAAATTGAGGCGTGTTAATGCCTGGTACTGTTTTTATCCCTAAGGGCCCGTTCAGTTCGTTGATTCGAGTTTTTAATTCGAGTTGAGATGTAACTTTATGTGAGAATTTTTTACTGTAACAAAAAAGTTAGATGTGATTGTTTCTGAGAGCTTTTTACTGTAGCAAAACTCGAATTCTAAACTCGAATCGGCGAAATGAATGGGGCCTTAGCTTGTTTTGTTTTGGCTTTAATATTGAACGAAGAGAGTACTCTTGTGTATGATGTATGTGTGTGTCTCTGATGAGTTTGTAATTGCCAACTGTCTTGTTTCCTGATTCTGGAGTGCACACGGAAACTAAAAGAGTCTTTAGGGTTTCAAACTATAAGTTGACCCTTTTTTATATATAACTTTCAAGTTTTTAAGGAGAAAAAAAAATTAGCATATATATCGCTTGGCTCTCAAGCAAGTTATGATAACAAAAGAAGTACTCAAACATGGT